CTTCTTGACCCACTGGACATTGATATTCCCCCTTTTTTCCTTGATACTCTTCTCTCTAAGTATTTGTGGATCTTTTCCTTTGTTGTTTAATCATTTCAGTCATGTCCAACTCTTCTTGACCCCCATTTGAGGTTTTCTTGGCAAAGATGTTGTTTGCCATTTCCTTCTTCAGCTCATTTTACAGATGAGGAAACTGAGGCAAATGGGGTAAAGTGACTTGCTCAGGGTCATGCAACTAGTAGGTGTCTGAGGCCAGATTTAAGCTCAGGAAGAGGAGTCTTCCTTATGCTAGGCCTTGCCCTCTAACCATTATGACACCTAGCTTCCCGTGGTATTTGGTTCAGAGAAATCTGGAAGAGCCAAAAGGAGCGGGGTAGATATGAGAACTAATCTAGTTGTGTCCTTTAGAGCAGGGTGTAATACCTGGGAAACAAACGGTTGGCTGGTGTTTTATGTGAGTTCGAGAAGGAAGTGAGCAGTCACGCTCCTTGACCTTCCTTTTTGTCATGGAGAACAGATGCTTGATTATAGAAGGAACTTCAGCAGCTTTCCTGTGGGAACTGAAAAACCTGTGAGATCATGGAAGCCTCCCCAGACAAAACTGAGGGCTAGTAAGTCTTTCACCTCTTCCCACCACCTACTATTCTTTTTCACTCCTGCCCAGGCGTTTAGGTGCTCAGTTCAGGCCAGTCTCTCACTGCCCCCCCCAACATGTTCTACTGCTACCCCGTTCTAGACTTATCTCTTTACCCTGCCTCAGCAAAACTTACTGTATTTTTGTGATCTAATTTGTGAGTCTATTCTTAGTAAGTTTTCAAGAAGAACGGGATATAATAAACTAATAGTGAAGTGTTAGTAAATATTCCTGGAGATGGGCGTCTTAAACACCAAATAATGCTACTGTTTATAACCCAAGGGAGAACTCTCTAATGTTGAATTTTAGGGCCCAAACTGTGTAGGGTAACTCATTATTTTTCAATATAATTCAACAAATGGGTCAAGTACTATGCTAGGTATTACCTTAAAAAGAATGTATGAGATCTTTATTGTAGAGAGGAAGGGAAAGCCACTTAGATAAAATCGAGCTGATATCTCTCATTTTCCCCCTGACCAAAGGATCCACTTGCCCCCTCCAGTCTTGGAAGTAAGGCCTCTTCAGTCTATCCGTACTGATGGAAGGAGTCAACAGCTAAGCAGAGACACTGAGATAACAGTATGAAACTAATGAGTCTGGGGATACTGATCACTCTTCTTTCTCTTTCTTAGACATTCACAGCATGGTGCAATTCACACCTCCGAAAGGCGGGCACACAGATTGAGAACATAGAGGAGGATTTCCGGGATGGCCTGAAGCTCATGTTGCTACTGGAGGTCATTTCAGGTGAGGCTGGAATCAGAAAACACTGAGCAAGTATCGTCTGAGGTATAAAACTGAACAAGGGCAGGTAACAGGGTCCACCTTGACTCACTTTAGTAAAGCTACTTTCTGTATTCTATCCGTTTTGGAAAAATGAACCCAGGTTTAGAAATAACCCAAAACTGTGGCCAGCCATGCATTTGTCTTTGGAGGCAGTACGATGTAGAGCAGAAGTTCTTAACCTGGGGTTCATGGACTTGTCTTTTAAAAAATATTTTGATAACTGTGTTTCAGCATAATTAGTTTCTAATTCTAAATTAGTTTCTAAATTCTAAACACAAATACTATGTGTTTTATTTTATACATTTTAAAACGTTATTCTGAGAAGAGGTCCGTAGGTTTTGCCAGACTGCCAAAAGAATCTGATACAAAAAACTTTTTTAAGAACCTTTAATGAAGAGGAAAGAATATTGAGCTAAGAGTAGGGGATTCCTGGCACTGCCTAACTGGCCATGAAATATTGGGAAAAGTCCCTTAGCATCTCTGGGTCTTAGTTTCTTCATCTGTAAGAAAATGAGGCAATTGGACTAGATGAATTCTAAAATCCCTTTTAGAATGAGTGCCTCATTTTCCCTAGTCATGAATACAATGTAGTGTGATATCGCCTGAAAACTCCAGTGTGGGAGGGCCAGTGGGTGGCTCAGCTTCACAAAGCAGAGACTACTAAAACTCTAGAACCCTCATTTGCCTTTGCCCCTAGGCAGTTGGTTCCTCCCCCTCAGGAGGGTAGAGGGGGCAAAGCAGTCTCTGTAATATTAATTTTAAAACTGGAATATCAGAATTGGGGAACTTTGGAGCATGGACGTGAGGGAGAGAAAATGTAGGGGAGGAAAGGAGGCTGTTTGGATGTCCCCACCCCTGCTATTGCTCTGCAGAGTGAGATAGGAAGAATTCACAGTCTGGCCCCTGCCAGTAGCTTAATTGGGCCCACTACAAATGGTATAGGGGAGTCAGGGACTTAGTTGACATAGGAGTCATCATCTGAGGAGGGAGAAAGTTCCTGTTGGTACCATGCTATCTATGTGCCTCTGGAGAGTCTCTATTAATTGGTAGAAGGTAGGATTAATGAATTATGGGTTACCAAGTTTTTCCATATCCTGAGAGGACAGGAACTCTGGATACCTCTATATATGGAAAGTATTGATTGAATATTAAAACAAAAATCACGCTTCCTTGATTGGTTATGAAAGAGCCAGACTATATCTGAGGAAGGAAATCTGTTCACCACCTGTAGCCTATGAGGCTTGGGTCTCTGTGAGGGGCCCTTCAGGAGAGCACCACTGCAGAAGGGTTTAGGGAAGGGCAGTCTCACCAGGAATATTGGGGGTGGCACTGAGCTGTGTCTTTCTCCTTTCTCACTCTGACCCTCAGGAAGTAGGATTAGGTATTGAAGTAGTGGTGAATCAATCTTTGGTTGTGATAGAAGAATGTGTCTTTGTTAGGGATGGTGGTGAGATGGGTTGAGGAGAAGCATATGGCAGTGAGCAGTGGTATACTGCCCAGAGTGGACTGGTTTGAAGTCTCTGGGAGAAAGGTTTCAATCCTAGGACTGGCATTGGGAATGAGTTCCCTGTAGTATCTTGGCTTCTTTCTGGTCACAAAGCCTGTGCAAGAGTTTTTAAATGGAGTTTTAGAGTCAGAAGGAGGGAGGCAAACCTCTCATCCCAGCTCAGTGAGCTGGTTCCCTTCCATATAAGTGGCTTTTATGTTTACTTCCTGCTAAAAAGCCGGGGGTCCCTTTTCCTGTTGCATTAGAACTGTGAGTCTATTTTGGTCTCCTTTTTTTGTTTTTGCCAAGTTTTATTGGTATCTGTTTTTTTATACCATGGTTTCCCCCTTAAATTCTGCTTTCTCCCTACCTGCCACTGAACCCTTACATGTAACCCCCCCCAAAATAGAAAAAAAGGAAAAGAAAAAGAAATTTAAGTAAAGCCAAGCAACATAGCTACCCAGTTTGACAGCCTGGACCTCTACCTCTCTTTCCTGATAGAAGAAAAGTGAGTTTCATTTTAACCTCTCTAATACCGAAAGTTATTAGGCAGCTAGGAAGTGAAGTGAATAGAATGCTGAGCCTGAAGTCAGGAAGACTCATCTTCCTGAGTGCAAATCCATCCTCAGACACTTAGTAGCTGTATGACCCTGGGCAAGTCACTTAACCCTGTTTGCCTCAGCTTCCTCATCTGTAAAATGAGCTAGAGAAGGAAATGGCAAACCACTCCAGTATCTTTGCCAAGAAAACCCCAAATTGGATCACAACGAGTCAAACATGGCTTGAATGACTTAACAAAAATTATTATGACAGCTGAACAAAACAAATGGATGCATTGGCCATGTCTGATAAAGTATGCTTATTCTGCACTGATAGCCCCTCATCTCTGCCGACAGCAGGGAAGCATGCTTCACTCATAATTCCCTGAAGCTCTGATTGATCAGATTCCCGGTGTCTTTTATTTTTCTTTACATTATGATGGTCATTGTGCCTTTTCTCCTGATTCTGTTCACTTTGCTCTGAATTAGTCCGTACTAGTTGCTCTGAGAATTTGTTAAACTATTACACAATTTATGGGCACCACTCCAGAAAAAAAATTTAAAATGCCTTTAGTCCATTGTAGAAGACTCTATATTGCCCACTATAGCACAGGCAGAAGTCTCTGGTGGCAACAATAATGATTCTTTTCCCCAGTGTTTTAATGTTTACCAAGTGTTTCCTCATGGGAACTCTTTGAGGGGAGGTGGTTGATGTAGGTATTATCCTCATATTACAGGAGAAAAAAAGGAAGCCCAAAAGGTGAAATAACTTCCCCTAGCTTATACAGCAAATTACACAGGAACCAAAACTTGAGCTGTGGTCTTCTGATTGTAAAGCCAATGCTCTTCTCAGTGCACCAAATGATAGCTGCAAGGCTGTGTTTATACGGGAGGCCCAGGGACTGAACAGGTGGTGGTGGGCTTTGGTGGAGATAGGTGCAGGCCTAAAGCTTCCTCAGTGTCTTGTTGTGTGACCTTGGACCCTGCACTTCTCTTTGCCTTTTTTATCATCGCGATTGGCTGACCAGACATGATGTAAACAATCCCCCTCTCCCCATCCTTACTCCCCCAAGCTCCAAGTTCCTCCAGGAGGGCAGTAGAAGTGTTTGAAGCACAGAAATGCCTGATCTCTTGGAAGAAGGAAGCAAGGACTACAGATTCTCTCTTCTTCTCTCTTTATGCCTACACTGGTGTTTCTGCTCACTGAAGGGGCAGATACATTTATTTCTTGTTATGCTTCAATGAATGCCCTGATACAAGAGCCTTCATTCACTTGGTGTGTGTGTGTGTGTGTGTGTGTGTTGTTAGGGTGGGGGTAGCAGAGTGTAGTGACATATTCTCCCCTTATTTGAGTATTGTATTTTTCTTTTCTTTTTTTGTTCTCTCAATTAGGTGAACGTTTGGCCAAGCCAGAGCGAGGCAAGATGAGGGTGCACAAAATCTCCAATGTGAATAAGGCCCTGGACTTCATTGCTAGCAAAGGGGTCAAACTGGTGTCCATTGGAGCAGAAGGTAAAAACCTACTTCCCTAGGTGGTGGAATCTAGTGAGACAAATGGTGATAGCTGATGCTTGTGTTTCCACTCATTTTTCCCCAGTTTCATTTCACTTGCATATTCAATGACCACACACCAAAGTATCGGGGGAGGGACATCCGGTGCCACTAAACTTATAGGCCTCAAGGCCATTCACTTCCACATCTTTTTCCTCGTATCATATCACTGTCATTTCAGAGGCAGCTGGGTGGCACAGGGGATAGAGTGCCAGGAAGACCTGAGTTCAAATGTAGTTTCATGCATTTCATAGGACAAGTCACTTAACCCTTGTTGGCCTCAATTTCTTCATCTATAAAATGGAGAATACAAAACATTTTATATAAACTATTAAAATATTATATATTATATATAAAATAGCACCTACCTCTCAGGGTTGTGAAGGTCAAATGAGATAATAATTGTAAAGACTTAGCAGAGCCTTTAAGAGCTATATAAATGTTCGTCGTTGTTGTTATTGATTTCCTAGGACCAAGATCCTCCTGCCATAACAGAACTCTCCCCTGTAACAAGGAAATAAACAAATCAGATACACATTGACCACATTTAACGAGTTTTGCCTCATTATGTACTTATAGGATATGACTTCTCTGCAAAGTGGAGGTGGCCTACATACCTCATTGTTAGGCCTCTGAGGTCAAGATAGGTCATTGCATTAATCAGTGTTCTGATGTCTTTTAGGTTTTGTTAGAATACTATGGTTATTGACTCGGTAATTCTAATTCTGCTAATTTCACCCTCAACCAATTCATATAAGCCTTTCCAAGTTCCTCTGAATTTTTCATTTTTGTCCTTTTTTTATGGCTCATTAATGTTCTGTTATATTGTTTAACCTTTCCTCCATTGATAGGTGTAGTCAAGAGCTCATTTCTCAGACTTTTCTTTATACCTTCAGAAAGAACCCATTTCTGAAACCATTTAGCTGGAAGCCTATAGGGGGCTGGCTGATTAAGGCTGTGCCGCCGACAAATGAGCATTCCATCTGGAAGTAGACTCTGATGGGGAAGTGGGAAGGGTAAGAAAGCTGTTAGCAGAAAATAGGGAGCAGGGAGGGATTTTGTCTGTGTGAATCCTGAGGGAGTCTTTCAAGTTATGTTTGGGCAGGCTACTTACTGCTCAGGAACCTCTAATAACTAGCAAACCTGGGGACTTTGGAGAGGCAAGAAGGTGTAATAAGCCCACACATATTCACATGCTTGTGAAGAACCCTCTCTCTGTCTCTCTCTCTCTCTTTTTTTTTTTAAACTTCCTGGCTTTCTACTTCTTGGATCTGGCCCAGACTGTTACCAGAAGGGAAAGGCTTATTTTCCTAGCAGTTACAAGGGCTGTGAGGCATCTCCTGAGGGAGCCAGCTTTTATATAATTCAAATTCATTAGTGCTTTAAAGTTCACAAAGTACTTTCCTTAGCACAAGGAGAAGAAGGTGGTGTAAGTATTAGGATTCCCATTTTACATATGAAGATACTGAAGCTGGCAGAGGTCAAGTGACTTTCCCAAGGTCACACAACACATACATATTGGATGGAGCCAGGTTTCCTCATCCCAAGTCCAGCACCCTTTTCGCTGTACCATGCTGCTTCTCAGTAAGGGGAAGTCTACCTATTCAATGGGGATTTTTTTGGAGGCTGTCCTTTATAATAGGGATCACTTGAAAAGAATGGGGATTGAGGCTCTATTGAGACTAAGAGGGGAAAGATTGTTCTGTATAAAGGGAGCTAGAGAGACTCTGTGAGAGGATGCCAAATTCCTTCAACAAACATTAAGCATCTGTTACCTTGTAGATAGAGTGTTACCTCCAAGGCATAGTACTAAGTGCTGGGGATACAAATTGTCCTTGCCCTGAAGGATCTTATATTCTTTGGGGAAAACAGATTTTTTTTTATATGCAGATAAGTCAATACAAAATATTTGTAAAATAATTGCAGGGCACTGACCACTAGGGTAATCAGAAAAGGCCTCACTGGGAGTTGGCACTTGAGCTGATCTTTGAAGGAAATTAGGAATTCTAAGAGGGGAGGGGTTGTTTCATTTCAGGATGGGGGACGGCCTCTGCAAAGACACAAGGCAAAGATGGCGAGTCATGTATATGGAACAGCAGGTAGCTCAGTTTGGCTGGAACATTGAGTGGGTGGGGGAGTGGGTAGGAGAGCATTGAAACAAGTTTGAAAAGGATATGTTTGAACCAGATTGTGAAAGGCTTTACATGCCGAGTGGAGGAGTTTGAATTTAAGTTATCCTGGAGTCCATAGGGAACCATTGAAACTTCTTGAGCAGGGGAATGATGGGGTCAGACTTATGTGGGCATGAGCTAGATTACAGGATCTGAGTCTGAAGAAGCCATGAAGTCCAGCCTATAGACCTCAATGAAAGGGATCTGCAACACAGCCAGCAAAGCAATCATTTAGCTTTGCTTTAAGACCTCCATTAAGAAGGAACTTGGTATTTTTGCATAGTTCCATTGCACTTTTGCATAGTTTTACCATCAAGCATAAGTCTTCCTCTGTGTAGCTTGCACCCAGTGCTCCTATCCTGCCCTCAGGCACCACACAGCACAAATATTACTCTTCTTGCGTGTGATAGCTATTCAGATACTTGTAGACAGCTATTTTGTTCCCTCTTAAACCTTCTCTTCCCAGACCAAGAAAAATAGAAAAGGTGGGATGCTAACACCATGAGTTTGGGACTAAATAAGATCCAAGAACTAGAAGATTTATTCAAGCATCAGTCAAGATTCCTCCCTGCGATTGCTTGCGCCTGATTGCCCTCCCTTATGGCTGATCTCATTTCTTGTGTCCACCCTGGTTTTCTTTATTCTGATAAGCTGTTTCAGTTTTATTAACTAATGTGGATCACCTCTACCTGAGTTGCTGGATTTCTGGAGTTGTGATAGCCTGAAAAATGCACTTCCTGCTAGATTAATCTCTTCTTTATTTAGCCATGCTAGTCCTTGGACAGCAGGTGCACCTCATCTGACAAGTACTGGAATGTTTTCTAGATTGGCATAGGTGCTTGATGGTGTGGGGTCAGCTGGCACTAGACCATCTCCATGGCACAATGAAGTAAATGCAGCAGGTTTTTTGTAAAGGATATTATTCAGTTCTTCAGTAGGTTCATGTTCTCATTGATGAGAACTCCTTTCATAGTTGCACAGTGCTTAGAGTGGGCTGCACCTGGAGTCAGGAAGACCCAAGTTCAAATTTGGCCACAGACGCTTAGTAACTGTGTGAGTGGGCATGTCACTCAACCTCTGTTGGCCTCAGTTTCCTCTCAACTGTAAAATAGGGATAGTAATAGCATCTACCCTGCAGTGTTGTTGTAAGGATCAAATGAGAAAATATAAAGAGTGCTTAGCACAGTATCTGGCACATGGTGAATGCTGTTATAAAGCTCATTTCCTTCCCTCCTCCTTTATAGGTACAGATCAAAAACCATTCATGTCTTCTTATCTTGTGCTATTCGACACATTCTTTCCTATTTCTTCCACAGAGGATCAGTCAGTCAAAAAGCATTTGTTAAATGCCTCCTATGTGCCAGGCACTTGTTGTGTCAAGGAGTCTTGGAAACATTCCTTTGGGTCTTTTTCCATTGCTTAATAAGCAATGGAGTATTAATTATTCTGACCATCTATTACCCTTCACTTTCATCATGACTGGCCCAATAACAGTAGTCCTTAAAATTGCATGATATTTTGTGCTTTCAAAGTATTTTCATGTACTGCACCTTTATTCTCACCAAAATCCATTGAGTTGTGATGTAGACTATAATCTCCTTGAGGACAAGTACTGTTTGTCATTTTGTCTTTGAATGCTCATAATGGGCTCTTAATAAATACTTGTTGAATTGAATTAGGCAGGACTGACAGTGATCTCCTTTGATAAATGAGATTCATCTGTTAGAAAGGGCAGTGAATTGCCCATGTTTACACAGCAGAACCAGGAACCAAACTCAAATCTTTGGACTCTTGAGGATTGTTGTTGCCTTTGCTCCAAACTTGACAGCTGCAAATTTCTTTCTCTCTGCCTGTCTCAAAGCAATTAATCTTTACTGTCTCCTGCTGTCTGCCTGTTGGCCAATCAGTTATAACCTGTGTCTTGAGTACCTGCTTTGTGGATAACACAATGCTGACATTTAGAGGTATAAGACATGGGTCCTACCCTCAGAGAACTTAGTCTGGTTGGGAAATATTATATGGAAATATATTATATGGAGTAATTATGTAGATACCAAAGTCTGGTTTAACTCTTCAAGTGTAGTAGTGGTTCAGAGGTAAGGGCAAGATCAGTGGGGTCTGGAAGTAGTCTGGGAAAGACTTATAAAGGAAGAGGTAAGATGGTGAGCTCGATTTTAAAGGACGGGTAAAATGTGAAGATTTGATGCCCCAATCATTTCTCCTCCTATATAATTAAATGTGGCTGGTCTTTCGGAGTGTTGGGGAATCAGTGAACGGTGTGAATTAAACACAATTATATGCAGCTTCATATTTTCTGAGGTAAGTCTAAAAACTGGAATATACCATCCCTAGAAGCAAAGGGATAGACAGCCAGTTTGGGACCATACGAAGGCAGGTTAGTTAGTCAGTGAGATGAGATTGTGGGTCTGGTGTATCATACATGGCTACTAATTCGAGATAACTCACTGCTCACCACCTTACACAGCTCTATACTTTGCACTGGAAAATTTTCTCTAACTATAGTGAGAAATTCCACAGATGCTGTTGAAGCCAGTAATCTCTGAGATTTTTTTTTCAGTCTTTTTTTTTTTTTTTTTGAAATTGCATAGGTGATGAAAGGGTGTCTCCAGTTGTCTTCTGTGCAAGGCTGAGCTTAATTGTCTCTTCTCCAGTAGGGGCTATGTGGGAAGTGAGGAGCGATAAAGAAGTTAGCATGGTGGGTCTGGTAACTTGGCCTTTGGGAAAATATCTGGTACCATCCTTGAGGCAGCATTCAGTTATGTCTCTTTTAATGAAGAGGGTGTTGGCTCTCAGGCTATAGTTGTCTTTGGAATTCCATCTTTGTTTGAGATATGTTTAATGTGGGGTAGAATATTCTTTTCTCTACACTTGCTTCTTCCTGCCTCCTTACCTTAGCAGTGGGGTAGATGAAAAATCAGTCAACCAACAAGCGTTTATTAAGTGCTTAACTATATTCCAGATACTGTATAGCACTTACATGCTGGTGATAAAAATAAAGACAAAAATAAGCTCCTGCCCTCAGGAAGCATACATTCTGATGAAGGAGATAACATGTAAATAACTTGGTACATAGAAGATATACATAGAACAGATGGAAGTTAATATGAGCAGCTGTAGGAACTGGGAAAGGGCTTCTGCTGAAGGTGGGAATTGACCGGAATCTTGAAGGAAACCAGAAGGGCTGAGAGGTGGAGGTAAGGAGTCAAGCATGGGAGACAGTTCTTGCAAAAGCATGGAGATGAGCTGGAATATTTGGGAAACAGCACTGGCTCTAGAATAAGAGATTGTTCAGTCATTTTCAGCCCTGTCTGACTCTTGGTGACCCCATTTGAGATTTTCTTGGCAAAGATACTAGAGTGGTTTGCCGTTTTCTTCTCCAGCTCATTTTACAAATGAGGAACTGAGACAAACAGGGTTAAGTAACTTGCCTAGGGTCACACAGCTAGTAAGTGTCTGAGGCCAGATTTGAACTTAGGAAGAGGAGTCCTTCTGACTCCAGGCCCAGCACTCTATCCACTGCATCACCTAGCTGCTCTGCCCTAGAGTAAGAGGACTTGGGTTCAAATCCCACCTGCTCCCTAACCTTGGAGTTGTCACGTGACCTTTCCTGGCCTTTGTTTTCTCATCAAAATTAAGAAACTTGGTCTAGATATTCTTTAGGTCCCTTCCAGCTCCAAATCTATGCTCTTGTGCCTTTAATAATCACACTGGAAGGACTAAAAAGATGGAGAAATGAGAAATATAGCTTCCAGGTTAGAGGGCTGTGGCTGACCCTGGAGTGCAAATGGGCAGGAGGCCCTTGCCTTCTTTCCCCCCAGGCTAGAGGACGTTGGTTAGTGAAGGGGCAGGAAGGCTTAGCAGATCTTCTGCATGGCTGGTTGACTGAGAACACTGTTTGGTTTCACTTGACAGCCCAGGTAATGATACTCAGATGTTTAGTAGAACGGCACTGTGCTCATCCTCGTGGACAGAATGAAGGGAGGCATTATGGGTCAGTGCAACAGAGTTAAAAAACAAGCCCTGCCCCACGTAAGCTGCATGATCTGATGCAAGTCATGTCTCAGACTTTGCTTTCCCCTCTAATAGGAGCAGGTTGGCATTGTGCTCTGAGGTTCTAACTTTCTGTGATCCTCTGTTTTTCTTGATGCTTAGCATTTTGCATTTGTTTGTCTGTCTGTCTGTTCCTCAGTAACTTTAAAAGCAATTGACTGCTCTTGTACACACCTGTGAATATTGCCCCTTTCTCCCCTTCCTCTTCAGCAAAGGAAAGGGGGAGTTAGTTACCTTTTCATCTCTCTTCTTTGGGACAAAACTTGTTCTTTGTAATTTTTCAACATTCATTTTCACTTGTTTGGTGGATATTTTTTTCCATTGGCATTGGTAGAGTCATTGAGTATATTGTTTTCTTGGCTCTAGTTTCATTTTGCACAAATTCACAGGTCTTCGGTGCTCTCCTGTATGTTCATGAGGTTCCATTTCTTACTGCATATTAATAGTCTGTTACATTGATGCACCATCATTTTTAGTGTTAAGTGTCTTAACCTTCAATGAACTTCCATCTTCTGATCTGCAAAATGGGGATAATGGTGGTTGCAAAGTACACTTTCTGTGAATCTTAAAGTATTCTATACAAAGATACTTGTGTGGACCATAGCACGGACAGGGCTAGTGGTTTCCCCCCTTCTTTGTATAGTATCCATTTCAGTGTAAGCCTGTAGATGATTTCTGCATCCCTTCCCATATTTCATTTACTAGGGAAGGATGCTGCCTGGCTAGGTTTATGAGCAATCTTTGACCCCTGTGAGCTGCAGCCTAGCCAGTGGGCAGGAAGGAAGAAGAGATTAGATTCTTGGTGGGAATCTTTGCAGCCTCAGATTTTTTGACATATGTGATCCTCCTGCCTCTGCCACGAGCCCAACTCCTGGCAAAGTGTAAGTGTGGACAAGGTGGAATCTTCAACCTGCTCTTATAAAAGACAATATGGAAAGAATACTTGGAAAGTATAACTAGCTGGGGCAAAGCACTTAACCTTACTGGGCCTTAGTTGCTGTAGCTGTAAAATGAAGGGTTTAAATTAGATGGTCTCTTCCTTTCCAACATCAAAACTATAGTAAGTTTTAAGGTTATATCCCAGGCATGGCTTTGAACTGGTACATGCAAAGTTAAGACCCAGCCTTGGAATTTTAAGTGTGGACCTTAAGTGACTCCCATGTTCATCTTGGAGCTCATGGTCCATTTTCTATGGAGGATGGAGTCAGTTCATCAGTAAGTATTTATTAATTATCTGATGAATGCCAGACGCTGGAGACACAAAGACCAAAGTGAAACAGTCCTTGTCTTCAATGAATTTACATATTATTGGAGGAAAAAATTTGTACATCTATAAATACAAGGTCATTTCAAGAGAGAGATAGGGAGTAGCTGGGACAAATCAGGCAAGACCTCATGGAGAAGGTGAAGCTTGATATGAGCTTTAAAGAAAAATAGGAATTGTAAAAAAAAAAAAAGTTGAAGTGAGGAGGGAATATAAACTAGACATAGAAGTGGGAAAAAAAAGGCCTTGGAGCATCTCCAGGTCACTTCAGGCCCCCAGCCCCATCTTTTGGTGTTTGTGTTATCAGGGGCCCTCAATCAGCACCTTTTTTTGGGGAAATGCCCTTCTCATTATCCTTTACTCTTCCCCTTTCTTTCCTACCTTCCCTGTTCTCACCACATGACCTGAGCAGAGGCCTAGCTTCGAAGGCAAAAAGGGAAAGGGAATAAGCATTTATATAGCATCTGTTACGTTCCAGGCACTGCGTTAAGTGCATTTTACAAATATTATCTCATTTGAGTTTCACAACAATCCTGTAATCCTGATGCTGTTATTATCACCGTTTTACAGATGAGCAAGCAGAGGCAATCAGAGGTTAAGTGACTTGCCCATAGTTGCACATCTACTAAGTGTCTGAGGGCAGATTTGAACTTGGGTCTTCCTAACTCCAGGCCTGGAACTCTATCCATGACACCACCTAGTTGCTTCGGTGCAGGTAGCAGCAACTCTGCCACGCTTGCATCCTGGCTTCTTTGGCATCTGTCTTTGTGTAGTGGAAAAAGCACTGGTTTTGGAATCAGAGAACTTGGGTCCAAATTCTGACTCTGAAGTGACTGGACAACCTGTAGTGACTTGGGACAAGTCCATTTGAGTGCTTCTCTGTGCCTCAAGGGTTGGGGTGGGCTAGGCGACCTCAGAGGTCACTTCTATCACTAAATTCATGCTCATAGATTAGGAATTATCCTGCCGAAGAACAGTATATGTAACTTGTGGGAATAAGATGGAGTCATTTAGATTAATTTAATGGCGCTGTTGTATTTCCCCAACCTAGTCCCCAGAACCCTTAGCAAACCCAGAACCCACCTATCAAAGTGTAGCTGAGTTTAGGGAATGTCCTGGTTTTCTAGCTCTGATTCCCAGTCTGAGATATTCCTAATACACACCCCTTGTAGTCTCTAGTCAGTCTCACATGTTTATTTACTCGTCTGAGACCAGGCGGTATCCATTCTAATATTTGTCTGCTCTTTTTTCCATAGAAATTGTGGATGGGAATGTGAAAATGACCCTAGGGATGATTTGGACCATCATCCTTCGCTTTGCTATTCAGGATATCTCAGTGGAAGGTATGGCTGGGGTTCATCCCACCCTCTTCTCTCACATTTCCCCTAAATGTTGATCTTTTCTACCTGTCTCTTCATCTTCTATGCATACAACCTGGGGGACTCTTTCCCAGATAGTACCTGGACACCCTGAGGTGTGTAATGATAACCTGCATCTTTTCACTTATATTCACTATTTGTATTATGTTGAAGGTTCATTCTGGAGAAATGATACTATTTAGGGAAGGGGAATGGGGAGGTTAACCCCTTTCCATACCACATCTGGGTATGTTCATGGTAGTTGTTATAGAGTAGAAAAAGGAGATGCATGGCTAGTAGTTATATAGTGGTATTGACTGGACCCACTAGGCTTCAGTTCTGTTGATACTCCGTTTGGTACAGTAGGAAAGGGCTCCACATCCTGCTCTTACAACACTCCCCATCCACTCCACCCCCATTCTCCATATGGGCAAGTCAGCCCCATGGCCTTTCTGGATTGGTGGGACTGATTCAAGACAATATCCAAGGTAATGGGGCCCCCTCCCAAGCCTCTTCTAAAAGGCATAGTGTCTTCTTATGGGTGGAGAGATGGGAAATCCCATTTCCAAGAGAAGGGGATTGTGTTGGAATCAAAGGTCACAGATGACTCCACTAGCCATCATAATGAGGGACTACATATTACTGTCTGGAGTGACCCTTACATATGCATATCTATTCAGTAGCACCAACTAACTTGCCCCTTTCTCCCATTTTGTCCACTTCACAGAGACATCAGCAAAGGAAGGGCTGCTGCTATGGTGTCAGAGGAAGACAGCTCCATATAAAAATGTAAACATTCAGAACTTCCACATCAGGTATGTGACATCCATGTTACATGAATGTCCTCACAATCCTTACTAGGCTGTTTTGACCAAGGTGCTGTTGAATTCTCCCCCCACCCCAGTTACATTGGGCTAGTCTAAGCAGAGATTCTTTGGGGGTATATATGGAGTATTGAAAAGGCTTCCATTTTCAAAAATAAATTTATATCAATTTTTAAAATAACACCTGTATTTTCTAATATAGCCCTTCCCGCTTCCTTCCCAAGACCCATTCCTTGTAACAAAGAGGAAAAAAGAAGGAAAAAAAACCCAGATCAGTAAAATTAACTAGCACGTTGGAAAAAGGCTGAGGTTATATACACTATTCCACAACCTTGGTCTCTTACTTCTGCAAGGAAGGGAGTGGAAAGTACTGAACATATATTCTTAGAAAGGCTATCTGTTGGGAAGATTGTTATATTTCTTTGCTATCTCCTCCAGTGTTTAGTACATGTTCATTACACATTTTTTGAGATGGATGATAATCTTGGCCTAGTCCTCTTGGAACAGCGTATTTACATAGCACAGCAGAAGGGGGTTGGAGAGCAGGGAGATATAATGCAATTCAATTCAATTGATCATATATAGAGAGCTATTACTATCTGCAAAGAGATGGTGTTGGGAACGGTAGGCAGTTTGTAGTCTTGGCTCCCTGGACATCAGGTTATTAGAAATTAGAGATGGGGTTGGATTGGGAAATGGGAGTCCTTTTCCATCTTCTGTTTCTCAGTCTTTGACTTGCCCCTCACCCATCTTGAAAATAAGGGACGCTTGTATGGTGACTTACACATGGTCAGCGTGAATGCCATGTAGACCACTCTGCTATAAATAAAGAATAATAATGAGGATGGTCTTAGAGGGATTAACTGAAAAAAAATTATCTTTTATGCATTAAAAGTTATTAATTTATATGTAAATCGTTATTAAGCAAGTTTAGTTAGTTGAATTAGATATTTAGTGTTCAGCTTTTAATAACACATTTAAAAATATGTTAAAGGAAAGATGACTCAGTCTTCCTGCCCAGACTTTTCTTCTCCCCATCCAAGAGAGACAGCATGGCCCTGGAGTCAGGAAGACCTGGTTTCAAATCCTGCCTCAGATACTTAACTAGCTGTGTGACGTTAGGCAAGTCACAGCTTCTCTGGGCCTCATTTCATCATTTGTAAAATGAGAGAGTTGGACTAAGATCCTTTTTAGCTCTAACACAATGCTCCTATGACCCTATGATCCCTCATCTACTCTCACTGACTGTGACCCCCACCCTCTCCTCTGAACTTACACATTTCTATGATTCATTTTTTTTTTTTTTTTTTTTTTTTTTTTTTTTTGTTTTTTTTTTTTTTTTTTTGGCGAGGCAATCAGGGTTAAGTGACTTTCCCATGGTCACACAGCTAGTAAGTGTCAAGTGTCTGAGGCTGGATTTGAACTCAGATCCTCCTGACTCCGAGGCTGGAGCTCTATCCTCTGTGCCACCTAGCTGCCCCTCTATGATTCATTCTTTCTCTCCTCTACAGCTGGAAAGATGGCCTTGGGTTCTGCGCACTGATCCACAGACACCGGCCAGAACTCATTGATTATGGGAAGCTGCGGAAGGTACTTATTGACAATTTGAATGCAAATGTTAGAAATCCTCCCTTCTGTCAGCAGTGACATTAGCCCTACAAATTCCGGGGGGAGAAAGAAAAAGAAAAAAAATGCTTTTAATCAGTTGACTATTGGGGTAGAATCCAGAGAGAAAACCATCCCACTTTGAGACCACAAAACAGAACAAGACAAAATGTTTTGAGCTCTTTCAGAGTCTAAAGCCCCCACCTGTGTGAAGGAAAGAGGGAGAGGTTTCCTGAGTAACAACTTGTCATTGGCATTCTTCTTCAAGTGCATGATTGTGCATCGTACCTTTCTAGGCTCTGTACTCTACATCGTGGGACCTGCGCCTTTGAGTGGGTGCCAATCTAAACCATTAGTGACAACCCCATTCAATATTATAATAAGGGTTCCTACTACCACATACCACATACCATACTCCTTCATAAACCCACAGCTTGTGGTGACTTCTCCAGAGATCTCTGAGTCCCCATAAGGGCTTTCTATCCTTAGAGCTGGGGGTGTGGAGGGTGGGTGTCACTTGACAATGTGCTCACATGTAGGGAGCCCTGTCACAAATCAGGAGGAATTTGAATGAGGCATCAAAAAGAGTTTTGTTTTGTTATTTTAAATCAAGCACCATCAGTGAGTTATCACTGTCAGAATGTTAATAGCATAAACAAGGATACATGAAATGAGTACGTATGGAAATGAATGTGGTTACAGCTAGGACCAGGTTGGACCATGAACCTGGACCTGAGAGGCAGTGTTTGGAATGGGTGCTTGCTCCTTATTAGCAGCAATACTTTTGGCCAAGCCAGATGATGACAAGTGACTTACCTGGGCCAAGCCATGAAGCTTCCCAAAGGAATATACTTGAAAAGAAAGTAGCTGGGAGTGAGGATATGAGATCTTAGAGACACAGTTGGGAAAATAGCTTTTATTGTGGGGGTTCCTGACCTTGGTTCATATTCTTTCTTCCCCCTTCTCTTATGCCCCCCAAAAAAAGGATTTGTGGATAGATTTCAGAGGGCCTGGGAACTTGGATAGGAAAAAAATTATATCTTTATTTTCACTAACTTCTAACTGAAATATGGTATTTTCTCCAATGATTTAAAGACATTTTTCTGAGAAAGAGCCCATAGGCTTCATCTTATTGCCAAATGAATGGGTCCATGACACAAAAAAAGGTGAAGAATCTCTGATTTGTTGTACTATTTCCACAGATCTGGCTACTTCTGGCTATTTTAATCAGCTTCCTCCTTTAAAGAGGCCAATGCGGTTGTTCTAGGACATGAACTTCACCCCCAGACTTCCCTGTGAGAAAGAAGCTTGAGATTCCTATTTTGCATATGAGGAAACTGAAGTGCAGACTAATGAACTGGCTTATTATTTTTTTAGGCCATGAAAGAGTCATCAGAAAGAGAAATCCATCAACTCCCTGTAAAACCAAATCTAAGCTTCCTCAAGGAGGCAAAAGATGTCCTATTAGGCAAGGAAGACAGACCCCTTACTCTTAACAAAATCAGTTATTCAGTATGAGAGGGAATGGCCATTTCTCCCCATTCCCTAGTTGAAAAAACTGAGGCCTTGGGAGGCAAGGGAGTTAAAGTCATAACCCAGACCTTTCATCACTTGTTACCTCCTAACTTGATAATATTAGCTCATCTTTGTCTAACACTTTGCAGAGCCCTTTTCTCATGAGAGCTCTGCAGTAAGTTGCGTACATATTATACCCAAGGAATAAAACTGAGGTTTATGTAAAGTGACTTGCCCAGTGACAAGTAAGGTGATCTTAGAGACACTAAGTCCATAGTTACTCAGCCAGTAGTATCAGCTTGTATGTAACCTCCAAGTCCAATGCTCTTTTTACCATATCATTAGATCACCCTGTGGGTAATTCTTGGACTTGGTGCTGTGTGAAAGCATTGCCTTCTTGCCTGATTTTTTGATTGACCAAATCCTTAGGTATACTGCCCTATTGAGAAAGCTGCTCTTATAGCACCCCCTGGTGGCTACTTAGCAAACCAGCAACATGGCCATTCTTCCCTAGCAAAGATGGAAAGCCCTTAGAGTGAAATTGTTAATCAATTTAATAGGATTCCTTGATAAATCTGCTGCTTCTAAGTATCTTGGTTTCCATTGGTGAGACTGGAGTCCAAAGGACTTCCCATCCTGAAGGAAGGATACACATAGAGCTGGATTTGAATGACCCTTGCCAGTCCATGGGTGTGTGAATAAATGAATGAGTGAGTGAGTAAGTGTGTGTGTGTGTGTGTGTGTGTATGTGTGTGTGTGTGTGTGTGTGTGAGAGAGAGAGAGAGAGAGAGAGAGAGAGAGAGATTTACTTAGAGGCAGTAACCCATGTGTGGCATGACCCCATTCAGTGGAACCAGCCAGTCCTTCTCCTCCATCTTGCTCCTTGTACAGAGAGGGGCTGGCCAGTGCTTCCTCAGGTTCTCACATCATGCCTTTGCTTTTCTTTCCTCCCTTCCCATTAGGATGACCCACTCACAAACCTAAATACAGCTTTTGATGTGGCAGAGAAGTATCTGGATATCCCAAAGATGCTGGATGCAGAAGGTAACAAAGCTTTTTTCTTTTTTAAACCTCACAAGATCTTTCCTTGATTTCCCTTCCCTCACCCTGATATACATACAAGGTGCCAGAGGAACTCTGAACTGTTTATTCGCTCTTCTCATTTATTGTAGTCGTTTGAGTCAATCCAACTAGCAGTCATTAAATACCCTCTATGTTCTAGTACTATGTTTCTAGGTATTATTCTAGGACCTGGGGATACGTTGACAAAATCACAATATGTACACAGATAGACAAATATAAAGTATATGAAAAAGTAAATACAAAGTAACGTTGGTGTATGTGAGGAGAGGGGCGCAAACAACTGGGGTGATTGGGAAAGGCTTGGTAACACCAGAGCTGAACCTTGAAGGGATTGCAAGGAGTGCGAGTGATTAGAGCATGAGAAGCAGGGGAGACAGCTGGTGCAAAGGATCGTGGGAAGGAGATGGAATGTTATATAGAGGGAGCAGGAGATAGGTCAGTTTGGCTGGGTTGTAGAATGGGTGGGTGGGGAAGAATGTGAAAGTCTGGGAAGATAATTTTGGAGCCAGATTGGGAAAGCCTTTAAATGTCAAAGGAATTTGGATTTTATCCTAGAGGCAATAGGGAGCTATTGGAGGCTCATGCAGTGGTCTAGGCAGGAGGTGCCCAGGGCCCAAACTAGGGAGGTTATGGTGAGGTGCAATATGTGAGAGAAGGGTTTGGCTGTGGATGATTTCAAGAAGTAGACTCAACAGAACTTGGTAAATGACTGGACATGGAAAGTGAGGGGTAAGGAGGAGTCGAAAATAATTTCAAGGTTGCCATCCTGAATGACTGAAGGGGGATAGTAGTGTTTAAACAGAAATAGGTAAGTTAGGAAAAAGTTTGGACTGGGGTAGGGGTTGACCATGAATTCCAATTTTTTACTTTTTAAATTTGTGATGCCTCTGAGAAAGCTAAGTGGAGATGTCCAATAAGCAGTTGATATGCTAGACTGGAGGTGAGGAATAGATATGAAGATTGTGTGATCTTCATGGAGGTGATCAGGACAGATCCTTGGAATATACATATATGTAGCAGGTAGGATCAAGATAATGGATAGAGAGAGATTGGAGATGGGGGAGGGAGGGGGTGTGAATGAAATTATCAAATGGGTAAACTGTAGGAGGAAATGTAGGAGGGGGGTTGGTCTTGGCAAGGAGAAATGTTGCTTCTTCCTTAGGGACTAGAGTAGGAGTGGAAACCTGAGGCCTTGAGGTCCTTGATTGCAGCCTTTTAACTGAGTCCAAGTTTTACCGACCAAATCCTTTTATTAAGGTGATTTGTTCTGTGAAGTTTGGATTCAGTCAAAGGGCTGCCCTTGAGGACTTAGAGGACCACACATGGCCTCGAGGCTGCAGGTTCCCCACCCCTGGACTAGAAGAGAGAAAGTGGGAAGATAATGAGGAGACCCAATCCTAGTCATTCCTAGGATATAAAGTTCTCTATCAGCTTTGACCAGGTCCTGAAGAATAGGGTGACCAGATGCTGGAGTGGGGGAGGGGTAAGGAAGAGTTCTCTGTAGCTGGCTCTGTTCATGTCAGCATGTATGAGTATATGACGTTTCTCCTTTTGGGCTGACATTTGGCTTTGTATATTCTTGAGGCTAAGTTTAAAAAAACAAAAACACAAGACTTCTCTTGGCCTGAATAATTTATGTGTGGGCTGAGTTTGCCACTAGAAACCTTGTTCATCATAGTTTTCAAGTTAGGGCCTCGACTTTCATGCCCTGGTCCTGAGCTCATTCATAGCGTTATCCAAATACGATGGGATAAAGGCCAGAAATGTCAGGAGATGTTTTGGTTCCCCAAGACTCTTACCTTGTCCTCCTTTCATCCTGCATAGGTATCAGTTTGTCCCCTACTCTCATTTCTCTCTTAACCCAGTCTACCAATTGGCTCTTTCTTAACTCTAGGTTTTTCTCCACAGACATTGTTGGAACTGCCCGCCCTGATGAAAAGGCCATCATGACCTATGTTTCTAGTTTCTACCACGCCTTCTCAGGAGCCCAAAAGGTATCATGGGGTGCCTAGACCTCTCTGTATATACCACACTTAGTCCTCCTACTAATAAATACTTAGACTATTTTTTCTTCTCCCTTACTCTGATCCCCCTCCCATTCTTTCTCCCCCTTCCCTAAACACCCACCTATAGCTCCAGGTATCTGTGGTTTGGTTCCCTTTTGGTAGAATTAAGGACTGGTTCAAATAGGTATGCTGTCATTGCTTGGCTCTACCCCTGCTGACTCTTCCCTCAACCCCCTTCCCCTTCCTTCCTTCTCCTCCTTCTCCAGTGTCTGAAAGCTGTGGGCCAAGTGCCCCTTCTTAATCAGGTACAAATGGCTTGAGGCTTTGTCATCACTAGCTTTGGCCACTGGTGAAAAGAATAGGCTCTTCTTGAGACTCGTCCATAGCTACCATTCAGGTGCAGTGAATGCTGCATTGTGGACCATAGATTTTTTCCACTGAGTTGGTAGGTCTTCTGAGTGGGTCCAAGCTTTTTGTTGGCAGGCAACTTAACACCAGTCTCAGCAACTGGAGTTTTCAGGAGAAACCCTGCAACGATAATCCTCACTCTCTCCTCCATCCTGCAGAGGAACCCTAAATATTATGACTCCGGACCTCATGATGAGAGATTGTCCTACTTGTTTTCCATTGTGTTGGCTTGACTTAATACTGTCCCACAAACGACCCTCTACCCAGTCTGCCCTCATGGAGTGAGTGTAAACTCAGAGCTTTTTGCCCCTGGCTGCATGCCTCTACCATAAGGCTAAGGGCTTGACCTATCATTAGTGTCTGATAATGTTGGGGGGGTGAGTCTAGATCCCACAACCCTCTGGTCAGCTCTGCTTTGGGCCACCCAGGGAGGTAACCAACAAACCTCCAGCCCCTCCCTGGAGCCCAGGAGGTGTAGGAGCTGAACAAGACATTGTCTCCAGCCCCACTGAGGTGGCAGCAGGAGCATGTGATCTTGTTGGAGAAATGCTCATGGCAAAGAAGGGAACCCAGCATGACCTTGGCATTCCCTGACCCCAGGATGAGAAACCCCTATGGAGGTAGGAATGCTGCTTTGGCCCATGGGGCTAACTCACTGATCATGTCCTCATCTGGTTTCCCTGCTCTCCGCATGGAAATTGATGTGTCTTGTCTTGATATGCATGATAGGAAGTTTCTTCCCTTCCCCATGACTGCGCTCTTCCCTCTTTTTTGCTCTTTTCTTGGTCTGTTTTTCTAATGTGTCTGCTCTGTTCCTGCAGTCTGTCTGTCTGTCTGTCTGTCTGTTTCTCCCCCTCTTTCTTCCTCTCTCCCTCCCTTTCCCTTCCTCTCTTCTTCCCCTTCCTTTTACCTCTCCCTCTCTCTTTCTCCTCCTCTCTCCTTTCTCTCTTTCCCCACAACTGTTTTATTTTATTCTGTGTGCTGCTGCTTCTTACTTTATCCTTTCAACCTCTTTTCCTTCTTTGCGCAGATGTTGTAGGCACGCTAAGGCCGGATGAGAAGGCCATTTTGACCTATGTTTCATGTTACTGCCACGCCTTCTCAGGTGCGCAGAAGGTGAGATATAATTACTCCCCAGCCCATCCCTCTCACTGTTCCCTCTGTCACTTTCCTGTTTCTTCTTTTTCCCATCACTTCCATAGGCTCTGCCTTAACTGGGAGCTCAGAGAGAAAGGTCAAATGCCTGCTTTCCTTTTATCCCTGGGCATTAAACTCAGGACCCTTCTCTGGGCCCATCTAGTGGGCTTTTCAAAGTAGGGTGGGGGGTTTACAGAAGCCTTTAGCCTGAAAACATCAGGCATTTGGTAGTGAGGGTCTGAACAGATCACAAATGTATCTGTTCTCTCCCAGTTCTTAAACTCCTCTTACCCCATGGGGGATGCTAGCTCCTTTTTTTTAGGAGGAAAGGGAAGAAGTGAGCCAAAGCCAGCCTATTCCCTCTTCCCCTCGGAATGAGAGCCTTTGCTATCTGCCAGCTCTGCTCATCCTGCTCCCCTGTTCCTTCATATAATCCTGTTCCTTTTCCAGTGTAGGATGGAGTGTTTGCTCCTTCCTAGCCTTGAAGCACTTCCTATGTGGGAAGAAGCTCCCCCAAGAAAGGGAAGCCTAGACTGCCCCTTTGCCCTACTATAGTCATTTGGAGCCCAGAGAACTTTTGCCCTAGATAGGGGCATTCTGTTCAGGCCCTTGTCTGTTCTCCTTCCTTTCTTCCCCAGGATTTGAACTTAAGGTTTGAGGGAATTATGGCCCAGATCTATTCTTAGTATGGTTCTCTGCCCAATACAATTTCAATTTACCCCCCTGGATGGGCCTCCTTGGTCCTCTTCATGGTCACCTGTGGGAGGGCAGCCCAGACTTGAAAGATTTCTCCTATTGGCTGCCTATATACATTTACTTTCCAGTTTTTTCACTTAGCTTTTTTGTCTCATTGCTGCTTTATGTTTCTCCTTATCCCTTCTCCGCATCTTTTGAAATTCCCCCATCCTATTCAGACTGTTTTCCCCACTACCGTGTGCCATCTTTACCATCCCTTTTTCCTGTTTTTTTAGGCCAGCACAAGTTAGGCCCGGAGATATCCTTGCCAGGGTACTCACCTCCCTACTCATGAACAGGAGCTCCTTGGAGTGCTGGGTTTTTTTGTGAGCTGAGCTCACTTCATATTACTGCTTCTTCCCTCTTTTTCTCTTCCCCTTTTTCTTCTTTGCATTCATTCTCCTTTTGTCCCTCTCATGCTGTCCCTCTCACCTGGGCTACCATTGTTATCACATCTGCCTGCCTTTCTGTCTCTAAAGCATTTGCTGTGTGATAGCCAATGGCAGTGCACGGAAGAGAAGTATTGGGGTTTTTTTTTGTATGTGGCAGCCTGATTGTGATATTTTCCCTGCCTCCCACTCCTGCTGTAAACATTTCATGCTCCTTTGGTCCACATTCCTGGCACAAGAAGGTCACTGTGCAGGGCAAAGTTGGGTGGCATGGGGATCTTCTCATATCCTGGGTCAGGAGTCTTTCCAAAGGTCAGTCTTCCAATGAGACTCTGGGAAGCCCAAGGAGAGAAGCCATCTTGGCACTGTCCCCTTTCCCTGCCTTTAATCTAATTGGGCTCCGAAGGTTAAAGCCAAGCAAGCTAATTTCCTGGCTTTTCCCCTAAAGCTTGTCTGGCAGCGGATAGGTGGGGGAGGGAAGGGAGAGAAGTAGTGGGAGCCAAGGGTATTATTTCATGCCTCACTTGACACTTTTTGTACTACCCTGACCCCTTGCTCAGAAGCTTTATTTCTCTTTACTCTTTTACTTTCTTTGAGCTGAATTTCTGCTAAATATCATATGAGAACATCTAGCTTAGCCTGACATTTTTTTTCTCTGCAGGTGAGGCCTAGCCCTTGTAAAAGCTGATTTGCTTTTATCCAAGCTAAGCTTTTGTTTTCCTTGGCTCTCCTGCTTATCTTATACCCTCCCCCCTCCACCCCTTCTTAGCTCATTTGTAATTTAGCACGACACATGTGTGCATGGGCTTGAGTAATGAATGACCGCTAGAGTTGGGAGATGAGTTCAGAAGTAACAAGAGTTTCGTTTCAGCAAGTCTTCCTTTTAGGATATGAGCTGAGCTTGTTAGTGGTCATCCTGGAGGGTTTGAGGTTTAGATTTTGCTTCTTGGTAAAGTTCCTGCTTGTAGGGACTGGAAGATACTGCCTTGGAGTTATAAGTAGCTATCTTCTGTCTCCCTTCCAAGAGGTGGAAGTATTCTGGTAGAGGAAAAACATCCATGGCTTGGGGAATAGCCTGGCCAAAGGCATAGACAGGAAATGGAGTATTGTTTTGAGAAATTGAAATCAAGCCAGCCCCATCAGGACCTGTACTGCGTGAAAGGCAGTGCTGTCTAATAAGCCTGGAAATGTAGATTAGAGCCAAGTTGTAAAGGGCAAACAACAACAACAACAACAACAACAATAATAGCTAACATTTATATGGAATTAAATGCTTTATAATTATTATATCATTTGACCCTCACAACAACCCTGGGAAATAGGTACTGTTATTATCTTCATTTTACAGATGAGGAAACTGAGGCAAACAGTTTAATTGACTTGCCCAGTGTCACCCAGGTAGGAAGTGTCTGAGGCTAGATTTGAACTTCCACTGCACTACCTAGATTTTATGTTTTATCCTAGAGGCAACAGGAAGTTCCTGAAGCTTTATGAGTAAAGGGAGTGACATGGCGAGGCTTATACTTTAGAACTATCATTTTGCCAGCTGTGTGAGGATAGAATGCAGAGGGAGAGACTTGGCAAGAAAATCGACTAGGAGACTATTATAATAGTGAGAGATGATGAGAGCATAGACTAAGGTGGTGTTTGTGTGAGTGGAGAGACGTGTTAAAATTTTTAAAAATTGGCATCTGGTTGAATATGGGGTGTGAAGAAGAGAGAAAAGAATCAGGGGTCACTCCAAGGTTGTGAACTATGTTTCTAGAAGGGTAGGGATGCCCTCACCAGAAATAAGGAAGTTAGGGAGAGGAGTGAGTTGGGTAGGGAGATGAGTTCTGTTTCAAGCATATTGAGTTTGTGACGCTTATTGAGATATCTAGTTAGAAATGTCCAACAGACAGTTGGGGATGTAGGTCTGGAGCTCAGGAGAGAGACTAGGGCTAGATATATTGCTTTGGGAGTCATTTGCATAGAGACATTTGATCCTGTGGGAGCTGATGAGAGAGTATATAGAATGAGGAAAGAAGAGAGCCAAGGACAGAGCCTTGTGGTAATCCTACTTAGAGGATATTCTGTGGATGATTATCCAGCAAAGGAGACTTAAGAGAAGTGGTCAGATAGGTGAGAACCAAAAGTGAGGAGTGTTAGGAGAAAGTATCAGGAGGAGAGGTTGACCAGTGGTGTCAGATTTCATAGAGAGGTCAAGAAGAATCAGGACTGAGAAGAGGCCATTGGATTTGATGGTTAAGAAACCATTGACCTTAGGATCCAGATGAGATCATTGCCACATTTATATAGATCTTATCTGCATGGACCAACAGATGAGTGATTAATTCAAAATGGTGTTTAAAAGAAATGTTAAGGTTAATGTTAATGCTACATACTAAGGATCTTTCCTGATTCTTCTTGAGGATTTGCATTTGTTAGTGTCTCTGCTTTGGTTATCTGCTATCAGGCGAATTAGTAATAATTACTAGAGTTATAGTGGCCTTGTACAGTGCTTTCATCTTGGGACTTGGAACTGGAATGCTAAAAACTTCCAGAAAAAAGAGCATACAAATGTAAAATACAAAACAGTTGATTCACAGTATTATAATAAACCTTAAAACTAGTGGTGGAGACTTGATCATACACGGCCAGTCTGTTGCTTGATTTTCTTTGACTGTACTTACGAGGGGGAGGAAATAGAATCAGTAGACAGTAACAGTGATGAGGGTGGGAGGGGGAGAAACCCCACCAATGCAATATTTTTTGAAGAAAACAATAAACCCTTAATATAGATAATTCACTTCATGAACAAACAAAACCAAAATAGAAAGTAAAAGAATAGAAAGCAAAATTTTGAAATGTTGAAGTTGACTGTAAACTCATAAAAAAATTTCACTCAAATACCTGTTTATGTATAAATAGAAAGGCAAGATGATGTTAGACAGAACATTGGATTGGGATTCAGGAGATCTTTGTCCTACTTTACTTGGACTCATTCTTACACAGTCTGGTCTTCTCAGCTAGTAGATGGTCCAAGTTCCTTTGATGATTTCCTAGTCCTGTTACCTTATCTCTTACTACTTTGCTATATCTGCAAGGTCTTGAACACACCTGGTCTTATAATTATGATCAAGAGTTGGAAGGGACCTAAGACCATGTTCCTCATTTAACAGAGGATCATAGGGTCATAGATTTAGGACTGGACCTTAGAGTTCATCGAGTCTAACCCCCTCATTTTACAGATGGGGAAACTGAGGCTCATTTTTCCCTGGTTCACATAGCTGGTAAGTATCTGAGGCAGGATCTGAACTCAGGTTTTCCCTTGATTCCAAGTCTACTGCTCAATGTGCTATACCATATTGCCATTCTTCTGGGTTTATGTCTTGGGCTTCTCTTAACCCGTTGTATTAGTTTTCTTTCCTTTGCCTATGTCTCCAGCCTCTGTTACTAGACTGGGACTTTATGTTCTGATCCCTCCCAGGTGCTTAGATAGGACGACTAGGCCTTGGTCTCATCCCTGCTGTAGTATGGATACTGCTATTGTTGCTCTGCTGGGGAAGCTGAGGCCTAGAGAGATGAAGTGGCTTGTCCAAAGTCACCTAGCTAGCTGGTGGAGCGGAAGAGTTGTCAGATTTGGAGTCGGAGGACCTGGGTTCAAATTCTAGTTCTGCTCCTCAGTGCTTGTATTAAGTAAGTTACTTCATCTCTCTGGTGCCCAGCACCACCTGAATGGCCACATGGTGTAGCTTCTTTATCCATAAAATGAAAGGTCTAGACTTCGGCCTCTTCCACCTCTAAATCTATGACCCTATAACCCTAGCTTCTCTAACCCCAAATTTAGCTTTTCTTCTTTCCTCCTTCCATCCTTTTTTCATAAGACTGTTTACTCCTTCCTGTAAACCAGGAAAAACCCTGCTCTTAAAGTAAAACCTCCCTCCTCTCTATAGTTTCCCTTTTTGGAAGTCATTCCCTTTGACATTCTCCTCAGAACAAATCTCTACTTTCTGGGGCCCCTCTAGCCATGTGCTCCCCTAAGCTATTAAATCTTCTCTCTGGGCTCAAAAGTAGTTCTTTCTGTTAAAGAATTAACCAATTCTCTTCTCGGAGGTCCTTATATTAATAAAGATAATAGCTCACATTTAAAGTCCGCAGAGTGCTTTCCTTACAGTAGTCACCTAGATAGGTATACTGAAAGTACTTGTCTCCCTTTTATTGATAAGGAAACTGTGAGTCTTACAGAGATTAAGTGACCTGTTTGGCATACAGCTAGTAGGTATCAGAACTAGGATTTAAACCCCTAAGCCTCTGGACCATCAGAGGCTTGCACAGAGTATAGGAGAAATAGCCTAGTTTAGAAGATTTGCTTTAAGTCTGGCTCAGCCACTTGGTGAGATCTTAAGAAATAATTTACTTCTCTGCACTTTTATATATAAAAGGAGGGGGTTAAACCATCCCGGTCCTTGTTTTAAATCCTGTGAAATCTTCTTTCCTTTAATTATATCTTGCTAATTCTCCATGTGGGAGGTCACTGGAACTGATGCCAATCCATCTCCTCAAACAGAAGCCCACTGAATCCCTTTGCACTTCTTAGAAAAAAAATGTAGTGATATCAGTTGTTTTTCCATCACCTTCATTTTATTCATTCATTCATCTACTATATCCTCCCCTCTCCATTGAGCCATTCTTTTTTTTTTTTTTTTTTTTTTTTTTTTTTTTTTTTTTTTTTTTT